ATAGTTTTGTCTCTCGTGTTCACAGGTGTTCAAATTCCGCCCACTCTTCCTTTGAAACAACTCAGATTTCTCTTTCTCTCACTTCTACGGTTGTTCCTTTCGTTGAGGCCCAGCCTTATTGATCTCTTTAGCTAGAAAAGTCTTCACTTTTTTTCTTGTTTCCAGTCACATCAAATTTAGACTTTCTCAGTCTGGTTTTCAAAGTCTGTCGTGTCAGAAAATAACCTAAGTGTCCATCAGGAGATGAATGGATAAAGAAGATGTGGTACATATATACAGTGGAATACTATTCAGCCATTTAAAAAAAGAAAGAAATCTTGCCATTTTTGAAATGAGGGCCTTATGCTGAGTGAAATAAGTCAGAGAGCAAAACAAATACCGTACTATCTCACTTATATGTGGAATCTTAACACAAACAAACAAACAAACCCCAAGCTCATAGTTACAGAGAACAGATTAGTGATCGCCAGAGGTGGGCGTTGGGACGGGGGGGGGGGTGGGAAATGGGGGAAGGGGGTCAAAAGGTACAAACTTCCAGTCATAAATAAGTCATGGGGATGTAATGTACAGCATGGTGACTAGAGTTAATAACACCGTGTTGCCTATTTGAAAGTTGCTAAGAGAGTAGACCTTAAAAACTATCATCACAAGAAAATATCTGTAACTCTATATAGTGACAGATGTTAACTAGATTTATTGTGGTGACCATTTCACAGTATGTACAAATATTGAACCGTTATGCTGCACACCTGAAACAAATACAATGTTGCATGTCAATTATACCTCAATTAAAAAAAAAAAATCCTGTCATATCAAATCTGACTCCCTCCTACTTTTCCAACTGTTCCCTGACATTCCCTAGTAGAAGTTTTCTGCTCTGGTTCAGCCAGCCTCCTTCCCGTGCTTCTAACCTTGCCACATGGTTCTGCCTTCATGCTTAAGTTCATGTTCGCAATTAGCACTTCATTATCTTTAGGATTGTTTTGTGTGTGTTGCCCCAGCCCCAGTGTCATGCTTCTCTGTAGGGTTGTACACATAGTCTGTCCATGTCTGGTCTGAGGGAGCTGCACATGTGCAAAATAACGAGGCTATGTTTTTTAAAACAATAAATGTTTCAGGGACTTCCCTGGTGGCGCAGTGGTCAAGACTCTGCACTCCCAGCAAAGGGGGCCCTGGTTCGAGCCCTGGTCAGGGAACTAGATCCCACACGCCTGCCGCAGCTAAGAGTTCACCTGCCACAATTAAGGAACCCACCTGCTGCAGCTAAGACCGGAAGCAACCAAATAAATAAATAATTAATTAAAAAATACTAATAATAGATGTTTCAGAATTGACGTACAAAAGGCTGTTGTTCTCCAGAGGCATAACCTTGGTATTTTCTCCATCGCTACTCACTAATTCGGAAACTTTTTAGAACCTCTTGGTTTCATTCAGAAGCCAGTGAAAATAGCCAGCGCATTCAATACATACTTTTAATAAGCTCCTTAAAGAAATTGTTTTAAAAATCAACTGCTGTTAAGCTGTTTTCACTATGTGGGAGGTTTCAAAGGGGAAAAAAAAAAGTCTGAACAGAGCGAAGACTATAGTAGCCGTAGTGTGGAGGATGGGTACCAAGAATGGCTTCCTCGAGGAGCTGAGTTTCAGGCTTTTGAAGGAGTGGGAATCTGCCAAGCAGAAGGGGGAAGAAGAGGCAGGTGGAGAAGGGCATTCTAGGCAGAATGGACCCCATGGGCAAACCATGCAGGCATGGTGGCCTTGGGAACTGTAACTAGCTCATTAATGAGAGAGCAGGAGTGACCTGGGCTGGAGCGGTGGGAGTGGTGTTGATGTGTGGAAGTGTGGGGGGAGTTAGGAGGGTCCGGTGGAGAGAAATGTGGAGGCCAGAGCACAAAAGGCTTGTGTGCCCTACTGTAGTTTGTATGTTACCCTTCAGGGTTCCGTATCACAAGGAGTTTGTTGTGATCTTTGCCACCATGGTACCTGCTTTTAGTATCTCACCTATCACACTATGTCATTATTATTTATTTATAATACTTCCCTGCTCTTTATTCCTTTTTTAATCCCCAGGGTCACACCCAGTGCCTGCCACAAAGTAGATCTTGAATAATGAATTATAAAATTTATGAAACCTGAACTATTTCAGCTATGCAGAATGAATGATAAAAGTTTGTCATAAAAGGTTTGCACACAGAGGTCCTAGAAATGCCTTCCTTGGTCTCTTCTAAGAAGTGGTATCATGCATTTGTCATCTAGGATAATTACTGCCATTCCTCCTAGAGGCAAACCAAAGAGGTGAGGGTTACCTAAGTGCTTGCTTACTTCATACCCTGAGGCGCTCCAAAGCAAACGGAAATCTTGGGTTGGTGTTAAGGTGTATGCTGACACCACCTAGTGGTGATTTTGAGACCTAACCGAATTGAAAGTTTCGTCTTTAACAACCAAACTTCTGCTGAAACATTGTATTTAATGTCGTATTTTGTTAAGCCTTTGCCACTGTCTTCAAGTTCATAGCTACTCAGTGGATGGTTTTATCTATTGTGTTTTACAAAGATGCTCAGCAGTTTTGATAAACAAACATTCTATTTGAAATAAAATGGAATTTCAGAGAAAGTACATGATTGGACAGACCTGGAATCTTAGAACAACATTCTAATCTCATATGTTATTTGCTGTCTCTTAGTCACAGAGTTCCAGACTCATGAGGCAATTTTTTTCTTCTAACATCCTTCTCTTTATTTTTCTGTTAGGACAGTGTTTTTTTTAAACTAAAGAATTTTGTCCTTTCAATTCTTATCTTTGAAGATAGCTGTAGAGCATGTCCTTTAAATTTTCAGGTTAAGCCAGAAAGGCTTAGCTTCTTATTACTTTTGTGGGTCTTTGAACATGAGTTATGTAGACATTTTGCTTATGACTCGTGTTGATTGACAGCTGAGGCAGGGAATCAAATTAGGATCACTGCCTTAATTCCTCGTGTGTAGGGATTGCTGTGATGTTCGTAGCAATGTTAATAAAATAAAAGCATTCATTAAAAATCTCCTTCATGCAGAACATAATTGGATGCATAAGATTAATTGCTGTTTTTTTTTTTTTCCCCCGGTGCGCGGGCCTCTCACTGCTGTGGCCTCTCCCGTTGCGGAGCACAGGCTCCGGACGCGCAGGCCCAGCGGCCAGGGCTCACGGGCCCAGCTGCTCCACGGCATGTGGGATCCTCCCGGACCGGGGCACGAACCCGCGTCCCCTGCATCGGCAGGCGGACTCTAAACCACTGCGCCACCAGGAAAGCCTTTTTTTTTTTTTTAAGTACTAAATGCCAGAGGAAGGGAAGGGTATAATTATCTCCATTTTACAGGTGAAGGAGGCTGAAACTCATGGAGGTTAAGCAGCTTTCATAGGCTCGCTGCTCTTAAGTTTGCAGTGTGAGCCTTTGGACTCAGGTGTCAGGGATTCCAGGGTTGGTGCATTTAGCTACCATGTAAACTTTCTGTCCAACAATGGGGAGGATGCAAAGGAAAACCACAGGAGAAAGATGCACAGAAAACCTTAAAGTGGTCAGTGACTCTTATTTAAACATATACTAACTACTTGATAAAAATCTTGGTCTTAATTTATTGTTGACATTATCAGCATGTCTGTTTCCACTCCTAATTATAGCCGACAGCCTTCATTCCAGCGTAAAGGGAGTTTAAGGGTCTCGCCCTTTGGTCTCAAATGCTTTAGTTATTTCTCTGCTGCGGTGACCCTACAACAGGAGTGCTCAGAGACCTGGCCGCTGTCCATAGACCAGCATTCTCCCATCCTGGTGCTCCCTTCTCCCAGCTCTTAGAAGCGAGCTCTCTCTGCCTGTGCCTCTCAGCAGGTGGAGACTGTAGTGGCAGGCACTTGTGTAGAAACGTCCATTTGGGTGTTGGCCTTACTCTGGTTCATATGTGTTTATATGTGTGAGTTAATGTGTCAATGGTAAATATATATGGGTTTTCTAAATTTTATATTGACTTTTTTCTTTGCAAATACAGACACGTGATTTTGCGTAATTGGAGTCATATCATGTATGCTGGGGGTTTTTTTTACTCTTTTTTTTCTTAGTTCCTCTGGCTTTCCTCCTCATCGCCCCACTGTATGCATTTAACCATAGGTAAGACATAATATGCAGCCTTCCATATTTTTCCATGCTCACGTAATCATTTACAAAATAATTTATGTACGATCTATATACATATCATATACATATACAGGATGATTTTTAGCTTCTTATATGTGCGAGTGGTGGGATCATGTTATACCTTTTAAAGGTATGTACCTTTCAACCAGCTATTCCATTCCTGGGAATCCGTTTCACAGAAATAAAGGCACTGATTTGTAAGATTATGTGCCAAGAGTACTTTCTACAATATTGTTCATAATAGCAGGAAGGATGGGGGGATGATTGAATAAATAAGGGTATATCTGCACTGTGGAATTTTAGGCAGTCATTTTTTTAAAAAGCGAATTCGATTTATGGCAGAAATGTCTCCTCTGCCATTCTCTCTGGTATGGATTTTGCTGTTTTTATTCCTTTACTGACATTTTAGTGGGATTTCAAGAGGGAGAAGAAATAAACGTATTTGGACAGTTTTCTTTACAACTGAAAATCTGACTAAATGGATTTCAAGACCTGCTCCGGCTTCTGTTATCTTTTCCTCCTAGAGCTCTAAGGTTGTCTTCAACTCTTTTTATTTCTTACCCTTCTGTATTTTGGAAATTAGGAAATCCCCAGCCTCCAAAATATTAAATTCTTTCTTCTCTCTTGGCTTCTAACCCCTACTGGTCTTTTCTACCAGCAGCATCCAAAGGAACCCAGCCTCAAGCATTATCTCTAAAAGTAAACTCAGAACCGTGAAATGTCAGTTCAGAAATAGTTCCTGGGATGTTTGGATTTTCTTGGAAATAAGAGACTCATAGGAAAGAAATACCATCTCTGTATAACCACAGCTCCATCTTCCTTTTCTTTGGCTTCTGTGCAGATTTGAAAAAGGGCGCATCTACACATTCATTGGAGAAGTCGTGGTCTCTGTGAATCCCTACAAGTTGTTGAACATCTATGGGAGAGACACAATCGAGCAGTACAAAGGGCGTGAACTGTACGAGAGACCTCCGCATCTTTTTGCCATTGCCGATGCTGCTTACAAGGCTATGAAGAGGCGATCAAAGGACACTTGCATTGTGATATCAGGTATTTAAGGAGTTCTCTGTTCTTCCAAGGTCAATATGTATTTAACTTACTTGGTACTCAAGGGTCCGAACAATTGGTTAGGTCTTTTTTGAAGTTAAATGCTTAAGTAATTTTATAGGAGAAAAAAAAATGTAATGCCAGGTTATTTTTATCATTTCTGAGCATCTGCTAATCTTGGTTCATTTACACATTACATATTATGTTTGGATGGACTTCTGGTCAATTTTGTAGACTGAGGTGACATGGGAAATTCATCCTCCCATCTCAAACACGGAAAACTACTGGATAAAAATCTAACAAAAATTATTTTAAATAATCACAGAATGAAACCAGGAGAATGAAATCCTGAGGTACCAAAAAGGAAGAATGAACTCCAAGTCAGACTGGTGAACGGGAGCTAGTGACCAGGGACATACAGAGGCCTGGGGGCTGGAAACAGGCTCTCAGAGCTGGGGGCCAGAGCTTTAAAGGCTGCAGAGAGGGCGTCAGGTGACAGACCCTGGGTGCCCAAGCACAGGAGCCGAGCCCTCTCTGTAAAGCTGAGCTCTTCAAGGAATCTTGTGTAGTGAGTTGGGAACAAGAAAATATCTGCCCACTGACCCAGGATACCCTCTCCCAAGCTGTGGGACTTTTTTTTCGTGCTAATAATACCTCATATTCACATGAGTGGCTTTATACTTTTACAAGGCTTTCGTGATCTTTATTCCATTTTGGTTATCAGTGCAGCTCTCTGATTGGTAAGTAGGACAGTTGTGTTTCTGCTTCACAGATGAGGATATTAAGGGTCAGAGAAGTGAGGCAACTTAGTGTTGGAGTTGAAGAATTATATCCTAAGGCTACATTTTATTAAAACAAATTTTTTTTTTTTTTTTTTTTTGCGGTACGTGGGTCTCTCCCGTTGCGGAGCACAGGCTCCGGACGCACAGGCTCAGCGGCCATGGCTCACGGGCCCAGCCACTCCGCGGCACGTGGGATCCTCCCGGACCTGGGCACGAACCCGCGTCCCCCGCATCAGCAGGTGGACTCTCAACCACTGCGCCACCAGGGAAGCCCGAAAACAAATTTTGAAGGCAGTATTATTGCCTGATTGTAAAAGGTGGCGGGGTGGAGTGGGAGGCAATTTTATAAGTGTATAAAGTGAAAGCACAAAGTCCCTTTCCCTTGAATACCTTGTTCTCCCCCAAAATTCTAGCAGTAACGCCTGTGAACAATAAAGCATTTATCCTTTTAAACATTTTCTCGATGTGTGCAAATATGTATAGTCGCATGTGCATATGTAATTATAAATGTAGAATTATAGAGTTATAACTGCTATTACATCACTTGTTTTTCCATTTAACGGTGTCTAGTGGGCATCTTTTCATTAGAGTACCTGTAGAAGTAGGGCATTCTCTAACAGCTGTGCAGCATATACGCCGTTGAATAGTTGAATCATAAGTTATTTACCCAGTCCTCTATTGATGGGCATATTCTTTTCATAGTTTAGCGGTAACACATAGTGTAGTCTGCAGAAATAGTCGGAAGACCTTTGAAGATTATCATTGGATTATATTAGTATTTTTAGTATTTCTAGAGTATAAAATTCTACAAGTGGAGTTCTGGGTCACAAGGGATAAGCGTTTAAAAATCTGGGTTGATAATTATAAACTTATCCCCCTTCCCCTCCTTATGTCAGTTGTCATGCTTTTTCTGTGACACCATATGTCTGGAGCTTGCTGCTTTTGTTTTGTTTTTTTCACTAAAATGGCTCTAATTTTCTGAAAAAATTATTTCATCCCCATTAAGATTTTTTAAAACTCTGCCATAGAAAACAAAGTTATGTGAATTTTGCTGTGGCCACTGTTTGTCACTTTCTTGTTTCTTTTCCATTGGACTTCAGAGTCACTAAGTACTAAGGCTATAAGTAATTAGTTTACCATGTTTTATCCCTCGATATTTTTACTAAGTAAATCGTGATCTGTAATCTGTTATTTTGCTTCTACAGTAGTTTTAATTTTTTCAACATGTTCAGATCTGTTAGAACCAATCCCGTATCGACAGGATGAAATAACTCAAAAAAACCCCCCAAAAACCAAACAATGAAACATAAGGGATTTCAAATGAATAACTAATGTCAAAACTTGAAATTATTCTATTAAAAATTATTCCTCTTGGTTTAAGTTGTAATCTTAAGCCTTGCACAATTTTTCCCCAGGGGAAAGCGGAGCTGGTAAAACGGAAGCCAGTAAGTATATCATGCAGTACATTGCGGCCATCACCAACCCCAGTCAGAGAGCGGAGATTGAAAGGTAAGGGCAGTCTAACAATGGGAGGAAGTTCTCACTGGAGCTTCATTTTCTATACAGACTTGACTAGGTTAGGCCTAAACTCTGACATGCATGGAGTGTTTATTAATGGTTAAACTACCTTGATTCCCTTCCTGCATACTGTCCCTGTACTTTCATTTATACCCCTCGATTTCTGTATTTGTTTTTAATAGAAAGATACTGCTAAGGTGATTCTGGGCTATCACCGCTGCCTTCAGTGTTATGTGTGCTCAGCAAAGATGTTATACTTTACCGGTAGTTGTATTGTTCAAGCTCTCACAGGTTTCCTGCTCTTTCTACTATACCAGCATCTTTTGTAAACTGTGTTCTACACTCCCTAGAGTGAAAGGGGGATGCTGGGAGGCAGATCCATGCTGTTCCATCATTGCTAGAAGCAGAACCTTGGTATTAGAAGCTCTGAATAGGGTTCATTTCCTGAACGGGTTTCAGGCCACATCATGCTCTGCTCCCAGCAAGATGAGTGATAAAGCGGGTACGCACTGTCCGGGGCCCAGTGTCCAGCAGAGTGTCTGGTACGCGGTATTTACGTAGTAAATATGTAAGGAACGAAGGGATGGGTTTTTTTTAGAAAAATAAGGAAGTAGGAAGTGTGGCTATAAAGCAACATGACTTGACTTTCTTATGTGGTGTGGACTTTTTGAAGAGGAAAAAATAAGAGCTTTCCAAAGTTGCTACTTTGAGGCTCAGTATTTATTTACAGAAGAGTCACATTCCGTATATACATCTCAATCTTCAGTTTTATGAATAGAGAGAAAGGAAGCTGGGCTGGTCTGAAAGCAGAGAATTTGGACTAGACTACCCTGCATGGGTAGAATTGGGCTAGATTGCCAGGTCAAAAGAGGTATTTTTCTTAATGGTGATACATCCCCAATTCCGATTCTGACTTTGCAACCTAATAGGACAAGAACAAGGATATAAGTAAGTTTTTAAAATTTCCTTTGGAGCTGAGGAGAGTAACTGGCTGAGAACTAAATTGATTTTATTTCTAAACCCAGTTGGTACAGTGGAGTAAGGCATATTTACATTTACTAGTTTATTTATTTATTTATTTATTTATATTATTATTATTATTTTTTGGCTGCGTTGGGTCTTTGTTGCTGCGCTCAGGCTTTCTCTAGTTGTGGCGAGCGGGGGCTACTCTTCGTTGTGGTGTGCAGGCTTCTCATCGCAGTGGCTTCTCTGTTGCAGAGCACGGGCTCTAGGCGCGTGGGCTTCAGTAGTTGTGGTGCATGGGCTTAATTTCTCCGCGGCATGTGGGATCTGCCCAGACCCGGGCTCGAACCCGTGTCCCCTGCATTGGCAGGCAGATTCTTAACCACTGTGCTGCCAGGGAAGCCCCATTTACTAGTTGTTTTTTTGTTTTTTGTTTTTTTTTTTGCGGTACGCGGGCCTCTCACTGCTGCGGCCTCTCCCGCTGCGGAGCACAGGCTCCGGACGCGCCGGCCCAGCGGCCACGGCTCACGGGCCCAGCCGCCCCGCGGCACGTGGGATCCTCCCGGACCGGGGCACGAACCCGCATCCCCTGCATCGGCAGGCGGACTCTCAACCACTGCGCCACCAGGGAAGCCCCCATTTACTAGTTTTTTAAGAGCATATCTTACCACAGTTTTATAGACACTTTCCTTTATTTACCATAAGCAAGCAGTTTCCCTTGCCCCGATTATAATTATACTTTCATTCATGAGGAGATAAATTTGTAGGGTCATTTACAGTGGTAGTGGAAGGACCAGGGGATCTGGTACATCAGGTTATTTCGGCGATATGCCCATGTAAGAGGAATTTTGTCAGTGAAATAGAAACAAAGACATAAAGCCTAGAATGAAGTTAAAATACATCCACTGGGAGAGACTGCTCTATAAAGCGTTAGCATTCATCGAATAAAGAATGACTTAAATACCTGGTACCAAAGAGAGATTCCATACAGCTTCAAACGAAATGATGAGCAGTTTCTAAACTAATCAAGACCACATTTATGATGTATTAACCAAATGCGGTAAATTTCACTAGGCTTTATAAGCAAGAACTTTAAAAAATGGAATCATTTTCTGTATCACCCGTTCTTTTCAGAACATCTCTTTTTAGGATTTTTCTTTATGTAAATAAAATATGTTCGTTTAAAAGAAAAACTAAAATTTACAGCATGATGTAAAACATGAAAGTTCCCTGGAATTCCACCCTACCTACCTCATCAACCTAGGTAACCATAGTGAAGTGTGCTGTACCCTCCAGATTTGTAAGCATTTACTAACACATGTGTGTGTGCACACACACACGCACGCACACAAATCCTGCAATACATATTATTTTGCAACTTCATCTCTCATTCATTAATATACTCTGCACATCTTTCTATGTCACTACATATTATACTGGGAAACAAAAATTTATTTTTATCCATCCCTATTGGTGGACATTTAGGTTGTTTGTAATATATATATTTTTTGATGTTACAAACAGTGTGGCAGTCAGCATCTTTGTACACAAATTTGCATGTCTTTTAATGAAATTTAGTTTCTTTAAAGTCCCAGCCTTTAAAACTTTTACAGTGTCTTTCATTTATCTGTGTTAAAGAGTGAAGAATATGTTGCTTAAGTCCAACTGTGTCTTGGAAGCTTTCGGAAATGCCAAAACCAACCGCAATGACAACTCAAGCAGGTTTGGAAAATACATGGATATCAACTTTGATTTCAAGGGGGACCCTATTGGTGGACATATCAATAACTACTTACTGGAGAAGGTAAAAAGTGCTTAATTTCTGAGGGTAATGTTTGCAAATGCTGATTTTTTTTTTTTTTTTTTGGCCTAGAATTGTTTTTTCAAACTGAGTTATAATTAACCTACAATATTAGTTTCAGGTGTACCATGTAGTGTAGTGGTTAACCTACAATATTAGTTTCAGGTGTACCATGTAGTGATTCAGTATTTTTATACATTCTAAAATGATCACCACAGTGAGACCTGTCACCATCCATCACCATACAAAGTTTACAGTATTATTGACTATATTCCCTGTGTACATTACCTCCCCGTGACTTAATTTATTTTGTAACTGGTAGTTTGTACTTCTTAATTCCCTTCACCTATTTCATCCATCCCCCGCAACCCCATCCCCTCTGGCAGCCACCAGTTTGTTCTCTGTATCTATAAGTCTGTTAATGCTGAATGTTTTTTTTTTTTAAAACCTGATTATATTAGTAGAATTTCTTTCATTGCCCCAAAGTAGCTTTTAATCCTGTTCTCTGTCCGTTCCTGCTTCTCAGTTAGCTTTCTATGGCAAAATAATCTCTTTTTGTGTTCTCTTATTAGCACTTACAGTATCAAGCTGGGAAAAGTTACAGACTTTGTAGGTAGGGGCGTGGTGAGGGGTGCCAACTTTGGGGTAAGGTTTAACAAATACCTATCTAGGACTAATCACTTCTACTCCTTCTAAGCATCCTCCCATGTTTTTATTTTAATTGGCAATCTCGTTTTCTTCTAGTTTCTCTTTGTTCACTGCTTTGTAGTAACATAGATGTACTTTGTGATCTTACAGTCTAATTATGAAGCATACTGCGTTTGGTATGTGAAAACTTAGAATGTGTTTTTATCTTCCCATGTGAATGACAGGCCCAATTTGTAGAAGATTCCAGTTAAAACTCTCTTCTTGGGACTGCCAGAGAGGTTGTGTCCTAACTAATCTTGAGTCGATTCGCCTGGTTATTACAGTCGAGATTTTACTAGAACTTTACTGGGTTAAGTCTCCATCTTGAATTGTACTCAGATTTGAACTGACATGCCTTCTCAGTTAAGTGTTTTCCATCTCAGTCACACCATAGCAATCTTTATGGCAGCAGAATGCAGTATAAATCTTATTTTTGTTTGTTAAACTGAAGTCAGACCGTTAAGGAAATCTTGTTTTATCAGAGTCAGTTGAAAAATGACAGGAAGTGCCAGTTATTATCAGTCTTTTTTCCAGAATGTTTCATGGCTTCACTTTATGTACATGCTCAATCAAAAGAATACCCTTGAATGAACATACATTTTGAGTCCTCTCTTGAGAGCAATCTTTTTGAAGCCATCTAAAGCAGAGGTCTCTGTATATGGTTTTTGTTCAGCTCACTTGATTACAGGATATAAGGCATTGCTCTTTGAAATGCCAGCAGACCCTCAGGAAGGGAATGTTGAGAATATTCCTCCCTAAACATTCCTTCCTATTCTCCCCACTTGCAATCCCCACACCCAAAAAATTTCCTCTTTAGGCTCTAGGTTTAAAAAATCAAAATAGCTTCATTTTCAGAAAGTTTAAGGAACTCTGTTTTTAAAAGAGTAAAAAGAATTGTCAAAAAATTGCACAGAAAACCCCATAGAGGAGATCTAGTTTTAGGTTGGTCCCATCCGTGCGGTCTTTAGGACATTTCAGTGCACTGTTGATACAGGATTCCCTGGGAAAGTGGCTCTCATTTTCTTTTAGGAGTACATTCTCAGATTAATTATTTTTAAAAAATTTATTTTACTGAAGTATAGTTGATTTTTACAGCGTGTTAATTTCTGCCGTACAGCACAGTGATTCAGTTATATTATGTATATTCTTTTTCATATCCTTTTCCATTATGGTTTATCACAGGATATTGAATATAGTTCCCTGTGCTATACAGTAGGCCCTTGTTGTTTATTCATTCTATATTATATATTCTATAATAGTTTGCATCTGCTAGTCCAGAATCCCAATCCATCCCCCCCATCCCCTCTCCCCTTTGGAGATCACAAGTCTGTTCTCTATGTCTGTGAGTCTGTTTCTGTCTTGTAAGTAAGTTCATTAGTATTATTTTTTAGATTCCACGTATAAGTGATATCATATGGTGTTTGTCTCTCTCTTTCTGACTTGCTTCACTTAGTATGGTAATCTCTAGGGGCATCCATGTTGCTCCAAATGGCATTATTTCATTCTTTCTTATGACTGAGTAGTGTTGCATTGTATATATGTCCCTCATCAGATTAATGATTTTAATGTGCTTTTTTTTTTTTTTAGTCTAGAGTGATTGTGCAACAGCCAGGAGAAAGAAGCTTTCATTCTTTCTATCAGGTTAGTAATCTGTTATGCAGATAATCAACCATTTGCTCAGTTGTGCGGGAAATGGATGTTTTTGTTTGGGGCTCTCTCCTGTCCTGTGCCTCCGATGCCTCCATTGGCCCGCGATACGTTACACATGTGTGCACACACGCGTACACCCTACCCCGTGAGCTTCTTAAGAGACTTGACGAGCATGGCTGTTATAAAGAGCTAGCAGGTGGTTAACCAACCAGATGACTGCCTTAGTTGAGCATCTGTTGTGTTTCTTTGCAGTGTAGGTAACATTTTAATGACCCTAAAAGCTTTTCAAATGGTACATTCTGAATATGTTAAATTAATTTTGTCTTATTTTTGAATTGAAGCTTTTGTTCCCATTTTGGGGTGTTCCAGAGGTGGGAACAGAAATTCAGGTTGTTTTCGTTAAAAAAATCAATTTTAAAAATCCAATAGGGCTTCCCTGGTGGCGCAGTGCTTGAGAGTCCGCCTGCCGATGCAGGAGACGCGGGTTCGTGCCCCGTTTCGGGAGGATCCCACATGCCGCGGAGCGGCTGGGCCCGTGAGCCATGGCCGCTGAGCCTGCGCGTCCGGAGCCTGTGCTCCGCAAATGGGAGAGGCCACAACAGTGAGAGGCCCGCATAACGCAAGAAAAAAAAAAAAAAATCCAATAGTTACATCTTTTCAGTAAACCAAAGTGTGCAGTTTAACATAGAGGATTTAAATGTATTGCCTTCTAAAATGCATGTTCTATGTAGAAGGACTATGCGTATTGTATTTGTGTTTTTGTTGACAATTCGCCATGTTTCCAATAAACTAGCTTTCTACCAAATATAAGAGTTCTGTTCGTTTCAGGAACCCGTAACTTTTTCCGCACTTGAGTGAAAGTGTCGGAATTTGTCTTTGTCCAACACTACAGTCCTGGTTACCCAGTTGTCCTTTCCTGGGATATAGAGATTGATGAGGAAAAGCTGTTTGTTTCCAGTGTGATTCAACATATGACTGGCTGCTGACACCTCTTAGTTCTGAGGCAATATTGACTTTTTCTGAATTTGAAACATAACCCTATGCTGTCCAGATAACAAGGCTGCTAAGCACGTGACCACCACAGAGCGCAAGCTCCTGTTTTACAAATGACCACAGTCAAAGCAAAACCTTTCATGCCAGTTATGTTGTGAAAGGGCTAAGACTTTTTAAAGTAATTTTCCTCATGACTGTATAATATTGTCCATCACTGATGATGTTGAAGCCATTACCTTCGAGGTTTAAAAAAATAATCTTCAAAGCTAGAAACAGGAGGACCTAAGTGAATTAGCCCCGAAAATGAAAAAAAGCTGTACTACCAGTAAGAATACATGGTGTGTTGGGTTCAGGATGTATTTTGCTAATTTATTTTTTATTTTTTTTTCTTTGCGGTACGCGGGCCTCTCACTGCTGTGGCCTCTCCCGTTGTGGAACACAGGCTCCAGACGCGCAGGCTCAGCGGCCATGGCTCACGGGCCCAGCCGCTCCGCGGCATGTGGGATCCTCCCAGACCAGGGCACGAACCCACATCCCCTACATCGGCAGGCGGACTCTCAACCACTGCGCCACCAGGGAAGCCCACTGACTTATTTTTAATTAAATATTTTTCAGCTACTCCAAGGAGGTTCAGAGCAGATGCTCCGCTCTCTGCATCTCCAGAAATCCCTTTCATCCTACAACTACATCCATGTTGGAGCCCAATTAAAGGTAAGAGTTTCCTTTTTGAGATGATTCAGAAATAGAATCAGAAGGGACATTAAATAATTATCTGGTCCAGCCTGCTGCCTTTAGGCAAATGAATGGCTCTTTTATTCTATTCTATTTTTAAAATTCTCAGGGACGGAGATTCAATATATTATTGATTCAATAACTTTGCTTAATAACCCATTACTGTATTTTATCACCGTCCGATGGGAAAGAAGTTTCTCTCTTATGATCTTGTGGGGTTTTTAAAAATTTTTAATCCTATTACTTTTATTTTGACACTATAAAAATATTGTTACAAGTAGGAAATCCACTGCAAAAGAAGGTACCATATCATTTGGCCAAAGGCAAGTTGGTAAGACAAAAGAAAGTTTAAAAGCACTGTGGTTAAAAATAAGTAAATAAGTAAATAAATAAATAAATAAAAACACTGTGGTTGAAAATGGATATCAAAGATTGCCATTCACTCTTTTTTCCAATAATGATTTTGATGTATTCTAGAAATAGTTTTGTGACCCTTGAAGCATTTCTATTCAGCCTTCAATTTTTTTCCCCTTCCTTTGCATGTAAACCCTTGCTCACACATATGCAGATCTTTTTGCCCTTTTATTTCTAATTAGTTTTCTGCTATATATATGATACAATTTCTGCTAGCCATTTTATAGCTAATCCTAGCAATGTAGTAGCTTATTGATGATAGGTTATAAAACAGTAATTGCAGTGTTATCCAATTTTGTTGGGGGAAAGGGGTGTGTGTGTGTGTGTGTGTGTGTGTGTGTATGTGTACACACACACATACATACACATACACGCACAGACATATACACACAGACATACATGAAATAAGATTTGGAGGGAAATACACTAGGGTTTTACTTGTTTACTCTGGATGGATGAGATTATGGATATTTGTGTTCTTCTGCTTTTTTCACTTTCACATTTCTTCTATAATTAAAAATGCACAGCTTTTGTAGATGGGGAAAAATAAAAGAATTTATGAAAGGAAAGAATTTAGATGTGGGAGGTGGTTTTTTTTTGTAATTTTTGCTCTTCATCTTAAGCTAATTATACCTGCATTACTGGTTTAATGGTATTTTTATTATTGTGCATATAAATAAATGATATTTAGCGTTTCGCAATTAATTTTCCATTGTTTGAAATTTAAGTTGCACGAATTTTTGACTTTTACAGTCATCTGAGAACAGGATGTTTGGCTGAAAATTAATTGAAAGCAAACAAAACACCAGAGGGCAATACTCCAGCTTTCTGAGAATAGGTCAGAGGTACTCTAAAGATGTATAAAGGATTGTAAAATCAACACTGAAAAAGCCAGTGACTGAAAATATTCTTTTTAAATCAAATTGTCTTATTGACCAAGTGGCTTTTGGCCCGATCATGTAGAGCCCCACAGAAAGCAAGTATTAAATAAACATTTAGCCTTTTTTTCAAAGCTAAATTTAGCTTAGGTTCCCTTTCCATCAAAGTTTTCCATTCCTATTCCTCCCCCTCCTTTTTTTCTGCCTCTCTAATAAAAACAAAGAAGCAATACATGATCACAGTCAAAACCTAAAATAAAGATGAGCCAAAAGGAAATAAAAATATGCTAAAGCTCACCATCCAGAGATAATTATTGATAACAACAGTTTATGTGTATATATTTATTCATGGAATCATATAATAAATGCTGATGAAATAAACCTTTTATTATAATATAATCATTAATATCTTCCCATGTAAACAAATATAAATTAATAGAATGATTTTAGTAACTATAAAGTATTGCACTCTGTGTATCATACTTTTACTTAGCTATTCTAAAATATAGGACTCATGTACAATTACGACCCTGTGGGTTGCAGGTAAGGTAAGACCCAATTAAAAGTCACCAAAAACAATAAGGAACTTGGTTATCTCACATAACAAGAAGCCCTAGGATGGGGCAGTTCCAGACGTGGTTAATTCCGTGCCTTAACAGTGTTGATAGGGACCCAGATGTTCGTTTGTTTCTCCCACTTACCAGTTCTGCCATCCTCACTGCATCGGGCTGGTCTGCTACAGCTGATTTTTCTCATGGTCCCCAAATGGCAGCAGCAGTTGTTCTAGGAGTCACAGGCAGAGGAAACGTTCCTGGCCGTAACCCTTGATAAGCTAGGGAAACCTCATGTCTTATGGACCAGAATGGCATCACATGCCCATGGCTGACCAGTCACTTGGTAAAGGGAATAAGGTCCCTGTGATTTGTTTAGACCAATGAAGATTTACCTCCTGAGGCTGGCACCAATTCTGAAGAACGGGTGCACTCAGGGAGGGTAAACAAATCAGGGTTCTATCAACGAGAAAGAGATGGGGCTGGGGAATGCCTGTTAGGTAAGCAGCTGACAGTTCTCCTCAGGAGGACACGTAGACTCTGTCTGGTTTCTTTGCAGTTTCGACATGGTTGCAGCATCTAATAATAGTAATATCTGATACTCAAGTGCTTTTTATGTACTAGGAACTAGGGAGGTGCTTTATATAAATTCTCGCGCCATTCCCACAACAACCCTGTAGGAAAGGTATTATTATGCCCATCGTACCCACGAGGAAATTGAGACTTGACAAGGTTAACTGTCTCCCTCAGAGAGCTGGGAGGGGGAAGAGCTTGCCTGGTCGTGTCCTGGACGTTAGAGGAACACATGCTCATCAGGCAGAAGGGAATCTTCCCTGTGCTCTTCCTTAGCAGATGAGCATCAGGCCCGGTCTCTGTGTCCCGGCCAGAGCAGAAGCTCCAAGGAGATCAGGCCCTGCGCAGATGCTGCTAAGATAGGCAGTTACCGTTGCTGTATTGTAAATTTTATTGACACACTTGTATTTCCAACCTGAGGGCTACAGATCCTCAAGGCAGGCGATTTACCTTTGAACCCCCGTCTTGGTCTAGCTGGGCTGCTACAACAGAAATACCATAAACTGGGGTGCCTTATACACAACAAAAGTTGATTTTCACAATTCTGGAGGCCGGGAAGTCCAAGATCAAGGCACCTGCAGAGTCAGCGCACACTTCCTGGGTCAAAGGTGGTGCCTGCTTGCTGTGTCCTCACAGGGCAGAAGGACCAAGGGATCTCTGGGGTCTCTTTTATATGGGTTCCAATCCCATCGTAAGGGCCTCACCCTCAAGACCTAATCACCTCCCAGAGACCCCACCTCCTAACACCATCACCTTGGGGGTTAGGATTTCAACATACGAATTTGGGGGTTGGGGGACAGACGTTTATTCTACAGCAGCACTTCTGTGCCATTTAAAGATCTGACTTGCTGAATGTTTGTTGAATGCCTGAAAAAGTGACGTGATAGTCCCAGACCATTTCCTAGCTTGCTGAATGATCAAGGCAGGCCACTTGGCTTTGGGAGGCCTGCTCTTCCTCACCTGTGGAGTAGAAAGCCTGACCGTACATGCATGGGAGTGTTGTTCCCAGCCTGGACAAGACTAATTGTGGAACAGAAAGCCACAGACGACAGTAGGTAGCTAGGCATATGTCTCAGAGGCTCCGTCAGTCAAGAGTTTCCATTTGTGGTCTCACATCTCGTGCCACTTCCTCCACTCATCCTGGAGCTTCTCTGAGCCAGCTCAGGACCTGCTTCCTCACCGAAGGTTCCAGAAATGTTCCTGGTGCTTGTCTTAGGTGACGGCTACTCTCACACTTGGGCGTTGTGGGTGCTGCGTTACGTTTCTACCCCTGGAACCATTTTTATTTTCTTTGGATACACATCATCCCTTCAATGACTTACTCCAAAGGCATCAAGACCTTGGCTACACTTGAATTTAGTCTCATAGTTTTTGGATGTTAATGCTCACATGCAGTGTCTGTGACCTCAGTTTCCTGTTTTCATTCCTAGTCGTCTATCAATGATGCTGCAGAATTCAAGGTAGTAGCTGACGCCATGAAAGTCATTGGCTTCCAGCCCGAGGAGATTCAAACAGTGTATAAAATTTTGGGTACTATTCTTCACTTGGTGAGTGGGGACGCCTTTCAGAATTCTTCGCACCTCCCTCTGGGACTAGGATGTTCTTTCAGAAGGTTTGGGGTTTTGTAAAAAGTAATTTATGTAGAGAAAATTCCTCTGACATTTTGAAGAAATTTACTCTATCTGTAGTTTCCTCCTACGTGTTATAATAATTTGAGGGATTTTCCAAGCCACTGTGGGTTTTGAGACTGTGGCTTTAGTTCGTTCACTGCCTTCCTGGTATGTCAGACTTCGAACTGGCTAATTTCAAAGGTAAAAGAGTTCAGCAGTGATGTGACCACCAGTGGGATAAGCTAAAATCTTTTGAACAGAGCAAATTTCTAAAGGCATTTGAAACATAGAATCATAGATTTCTAGAACTAGAATTTTGATGATCTCATTTTATAGATTGGAAATGACTGGCTTAAAAACACACCCAGTTCATTGCAGCCAACACCACCACGGACCACCCTGGCCCACTTATGCACAGGTTATTTTCCACACATCACACCAACCTTAGAAGTAAAGAACCATCGGTCGGAGTCCTTTCATTACTGTCTATATGATTAGAGATGTTGCAAACATAATGAACATGTAACCTGGTAGTAAATGAGTGACAACATGGATACAAATCTGGAATAAAAACGACCTTTCACTTTCCTGCGGCGAGATTTAACTCTAAGTGAATCAGACATACACAGGACCTATATGAAAAATATTACATAGCAGTATATAAACAATCTCTCAAATGTTCCTGACTAGGAAGACTTTAGCATTCTAAATTGTCTCATTCTTTCAACTAGTTTATAAATATGGTGCTACAATAATCCTTCAGAATCCAAAGAGGAATTTTGTTTTTCAGTTGACGTAATGATTCTAGAATTTACCTAGAACAATAAACATGTAAGAAGGTCGAATAAAATGTGTTAGAGTAGGAGGGCAGGGGGAGCAGGGGAGAGGAGGCATGACTAATTCCACCACATTTAAAATGATAGTAAAAGCCACAGTACTTTAAAACTTGCTGCATAAATTCAGCACCAGATTAATCATGTGCTGGACACTTGGTAGATGGCTAATAAGTATTTCATGTGCTGGACACTTGGTAGATGGCTAATAAGTATTTATTGCTTATTGAATGAGTGGAATATAAATAGACTCAAAAACTTGGTGGAAGTTAATATGTAATAAAGGTAATATTTCAAATCAGGAGGAAAAGCTGGACTATTCAATTAATGGTGTCAGAGCAACTAACCATCTGAAAAAATAAAGTTAAATTCTTACTTTACACCACATACCAACATACATTCTGGTGGATAAAAAGCTTAAATGTAAGAATAGCTGTATGAGGAATAGAAGAAAACATTAAATATTCATAAAATCTTCAGAGTAGGAATGATCTAAGTATAACACCAAAGAAAGAGAAACCCTGAAGCAAATGATTCATAGATTTGACTACATAAAAATGTAAAATTTCCATCCATCAAAAACATATGCTGAAAATTAAAATATAGATGTGTGTCTGGAGAAGGAAAAAATGCATAAAACACTAGGTTTTTATATGTTGAGATATTAATGTATTTAGGAAAATAGGCGCTCCAAACAAGGTCCCTTGGAATTCTCTCTTAAACTAGCAAATATATCCCTGACATCGTGTTTCAGAATCTCACTGGAAGTGGTGTGTCTTGGTTTTTCTCTTCTGATACAGGGAAATTTAAAGTTTGTAGTGGATGGTGACATGCCTCTGATTGAAAATGGCAGGCTTGTATCTATCATAGCAGAATTGCTGTCCACCAAGACAGACATGGTTGAGAAAGCCCTCCTTTACCGGACGGTGGCTACGGGTCGTGATGTCATCGACAAGCAACACACAGAACAGGAAGCCAGCTACGGCAGGGATGCCTTCGCTAAGGTGGGATTTTAAAGGCACTGCATCTGCCTTGCGAGGGTTCTGGTACCAGAATTTCTAACATCATGGGGAGGAGGTGTTTCCATACACCACCAGTTCTCTGTGATGCCAGCTGGGTGTCCTACAATGTAAGTCGATTCTAACACTGTCTACCGGAGATAGTATCACATCCCACAGGTTAAGGGCTCAGTCCCGCAAGCCTGTCTCTCTCTCTCTCTCTCTCTCTCTCCCTCTCTCTCT